GTGAAATAAAATGGTTTTTTAAAAGGACCACATTTCGCTGATTTTGGACTGGTGGTGATAAAGATCTAGTACGGAACTAGAAATTTGATTCACTCGTCCAAGGTTTCCCTGCTTTCCGGCGAAAAACTTGTACGAAAGGATATGATGAAAGCTCTTTGCCTACGTGATACTTCACGTGATGGCTAGAGATGGATATAAGTACGTCACTCAATTGTCAATGGCGGCTGTCAATTCCATGTTGGGTATATACAGATTTACAAATAATCATTTTTAGCCGACTTCACAAACAAAAAGGAGAAACGTTACCACATCATCGGTATATATATAATTTTTTTTTTGTATTTCACCGGATAACTTTCACCACGAAACCCGTGTTCAATAATTAATTTTTTATCGGTAAGGTGGTACCCCGAGGGTGGTCCTATTCTAATTTGGTTTATTACCGATCATTGGATCGTTTTAGTCAGTTCTTTATTTAAAACGTCCTAATGTTTTCCCATACAGATAGTGGAAAAATAATCTTCGCAATTTGCCAACTTCAAATTGATTTCACAGACATGGTTTCTTCGGCACATTAGCTTAGAATTACACGTAGAACCCTCCTGTGCTATACACACAAAAAATGGCCCGCCCTGCTAACCGTTTATCTTCTTTTTACTAACCTACACCTAAATCCGTTAAAACTTGACTTAAAAAATTTAAATTTGCTGGGTGCTTCCGAAATTGTATTACATACTACTAAACTCCAACATCAATAAGGTACGAAGGGGTATAGCTTATCTGATTCACTGACTAAGAAAATTGGCCCAGAAATGACGAAGCTATTTATTAGGCGTTTTTGTTTTAGAAATACCAGGTCTATTAAAAGTCCTGAAAAAATTCACAAAGCTATGCACTTTCATGCGATACCAAGATGATTAAAAATGGTGCATACTCAAAAATATTACAACTAGATTGAAAAATTAAAAATTTTAAAACCCGATTATAAGCAAACTGCAAAAAAAACGTTCATCAAAAATTTGTTTCGAATAACGGAATGTGAAAAAAATACTCATCGTGTTCACCCTATGCGAACCGTTTCCGTTTGTAGCCACGTAACGCCCTGTGGCTGATGCAACTGTCACCCTGTACAATTTACCAACAAATTTTGCGCCTCAGTGTATGTTACGGATCAGATGAGACTCAAGCGGGAAATGTCTGTCAGAAAATTGGTCAGAGCATTTTTTTCGAGGTCGTGTCTTTGCTAATCTTTTGGCGCTCCACGGAAATGCGGAATTTTCCTATTTTCTGCTAGTTTTTTTTTCTCGCATGAGAGAAAAATTTTTGCGATAAGCCAAAACTACTTTTTCTGACATTATTGCGCCACATTTTACCAATTTAAAATTTTTTTTGTCGAAATTGGAATTTTTTTTCGCCAAAAATGCAATGGATTTTGTTGATTTAATATATTAGGATCATATATACTTACCATTGATGGATTTTGATTTTCGAATGTGAGTAAAAATGGCCCCCCTTCAAGTAATCAAAAAGAATTAAAAAGGTATTCACTCAAATAGCTAACTACAGTTTTCTCTCCTTCTGTAAAAAAAAAAAACAAATCGAGCTGCAGAAATCGAGGTGGTGGTAATCTGTCTAATCAAAAGTCCAAAATAGAAAACAAAATATATATAATTTTTTTTTCATAATTTTTTGTTACTATTTTGCAAATATTTTTTTTATTTTTATTTATATTTTTGGAATTACGATGTTTATTTGTAATATTTAAATTATAAATTTTTCAATCTTTGTTTTATGCATATGTATATGTATGTACATATGCATTTATCGTTGTTGTTGCTGTTGCAGTGATAGCATTTCGTTTAAAATTTATTTACTCTTCTCTTTAAACTTAAGCGATAACTAAATGTATAATTATTTATATAAGTATGTAATGTATATAAATTTGATTTTAAAGCGAGGATTACAGATTTTTTTTTTGTTAGATTTGATGATAAAGAACAGATAAAAAAAAAAATGAAAGAAGAAAAACACTGAGCAAACTAGTAGAAGATAGGCGAGTTGTTGAAGACAAGATAGAATTGGTAAATGAAATTATTAAATTAGCTATACAAATGAAGAAGTACGTGCAAGAGCAAAGTGGGCGGTTGCTGGCCGCAATAGCGGGCGTGCGAGCATGTAAACCATAGTTGGAAATACTTTGTAATTTCTTTTGCACATAGCTTTTCTTTTAATTTTCTTCTTCTTTACTACATTTATATATTTGTGTGTATGTGTGTGTATCGATGTATATTTGAATATTATATAGTACATACATACATTATAGTTTATGAGTGTAAATATTTAAGGCGACCAACGGCTTAGTCTGCATTTTTAATAAACGCAATTTTGTTTTTCTTGTTTTTTCTTTTCAATTATTATTTTTTTATATATTAATCTGCTTTTCGGTAGCAATAATTTAATTTTTTTGTTCTTATTACTTATAGCATGTGCTGTTTGGACATTTTGCAGAGCATGGGCGGATGAAGGAACACATCTGAGTGCATTTAATAAACTTCGTTGCATTTGAAAAACAAAAAACAAAAAAAAAATTAGCTAAAAAATTCGTTGCTGTCGAGTAAGTTGCAGATGGATTTTAATAAAATAAGACAAGTAAGAATGAGATGAGATAAATGTGAAGTGTGAAATGACGTGATGTGTCTTACAAGTAGGCCAAATTTTACAGTTTAACGCGTATGCACTTAATGACAAAAAATATATGTATTTATATGTTTACACGTACATAAACATATATGTATAGCTTTTATATAAATACAAATTACAATCATACATACATATAATTCGACTCATAAATTTAAGCTAATTAACTTAAAGTTAGCGCAATTTATTTATAAATTTTAATTAGTCGAACAAATAATAGTAATAATAATGTTAATGAGAACTGAGAGCTTGCCACGATTTTAACCATGCTTAACAATTAGCTCACACTGGAATTGCGCCTTCTCACTGATATACATAAGTTCTCTGCCTAAAATGCTGATCGCGGTATTCCTAGTACTTCTTTATACTGAAAGACAGATGCAACTTTTTAAAGTAATGTTTTTGTTTTTATAACAGCATAGAAAGTTCCCAAATACTTGAATGCTGCCGGGTGGACAGAGCTTGCCCAATTAAAAACCTGGACCGTTCGACAGTCTTCGGAAACAATATGACTCTTTTTTTGTTTCTTGAATTTACGACAGTTCATAAAAAGTGCTTTAAAGAGGGTTTACAAAGTCAGCTTAGGATTGAGATGCCTTTTTTAGTTTTGTTTTTACAAGTTTCAGTCGTATTCGAAGTTCAAAAATCACTCCCAGTTGACATTGTACACCCAATATTGCTCTAACTCCACGTCTTATAAGGTTTTGTTTTTGAAAATGTTTAAAGTATCTAAATGTGTAAATTAGCATGAAAGCTTAGCTTATATATAAAGGCAGTTTTATACAAATATCCTTCTTACAACAGTCGGCCCTGCGTTACTCGAGCGATCTAAATTTATTCTGACCAAGAACTGTAACCTCAGCAGCCTTCCCTAAACACGTTTTGGAAGATTTCTTTGCTTTCACAACAACATAGGATTTTTGGTTTTAGTTTCCAGTTTGTGCAAAGTGTGCTGCTCGTTTGAAACATTTAATTTTTTAATAAAGAAAAAATAAAAATAAACAAAAAGGATAATATCAAAAGCTTATATTTATAAGAAATGCGAGTGTGAATGACTCTCGAAGTGCAAAAATTGTATATCTCATACTCAACAGCTATCGGCCTTTATGTGAGGATATGCCAAGCCAACGTTACTACATTGTCTACTTTGTAAGTAAAGTCAAAGCAACACACAGAATGTTTTAAATTTTCATACCAATGGACGTGGCAAACAATATCATGCAAATGGATGTTATTTTTTTTTTCAATTTTTCGCCATGAAATATGTATGCGTTTTTAGGAGCATTTTTTAGCTATGAGGGGGGATCACAATGTCAGCTAATAGTTGAGAGTTTTTCGAGGCGAACATTTTATTGCTTCCCGCATTTTTACAAATATAAGCTTACTATATATATTGTTGAACAAAAAAACGTAACAAAAATAAATAAATATTGAAAAAAACGAAAGAAAATAAATATAAATTAGCGCTTTAGACTATGCATGTATTATAAAACAATAGGTCGACGCTTGCCATTTCATTGTTGCTATTTGCTATTTAAATTTATTATTATTATTATTATTTTCTTTCACTTTAATTTCATTTTAAATTTCTTCGCGCACGCTCACTACACATTTACCAAATATTCGTACAAATAGTTTAAGAATTGTGTAAATTTACTTAGCATATGCATACGTATGAGTGTGTGTGTGTTTATGCATCTATACAATTACATTAATAATAATTAGCATTTTTACAATAATTATAATTATTGAACATGAAAGTGTTTTTCTTTTTGCTTGATTTTGTATGAGAAAATGTTTGGGACTTTTTGCATTGCTTCGCTTGTAATGATTACACATTTCCTTCGTTACATTTGGTTTTCGTCTTTTCCTCATACTTTAGTTTTTTTTTTGTTGTGATTTATTATTTTTTGTTTGTCTGCTCTTCTTGTTAATGTCATACTGATAATGGTAATGTTAATGTTAATCTAATGTCGATGATTTAGTAAACTAGGGCATTTTAAATAATAAATACTGACGCACGCAAGAACGCAGCAGCAAAAGTTCAAACAAATAAACAAAACAAAAAAATAAACATAAACAATTATATTTAAATTTAAATTTTTTTATTATTATTTTTAATAATTATTGATAGCTAGTAGCTTACGTACATTCACATTAATCTAAATAGAAATAACGAGTAATTTAAGTGTGTGAGGCTTTTGAGTTTTGTGATTTTGTGTTTGTTTATTATGTTTTATTAATTTTATTTGTAACCTTAGAATTTATTTCTATGCTTGTTTTGGTTGTTGTTGCTTTTTTGTTTTTTGTAAGTAGGTGTGAGCTTGAGCATGTGATGTTTAAGTGGTTTGGGGCGGCGTGCTTCCAACGATAGTTTTTTTTTTTTTTGAACACTTTTTTATGGAAAGGTTGTCCTTTCTCGAAAGCGGATGCTGATTTCGTAGATAGTTATTTTAAATGCTTGTTTAGTTGAATTGAGAAGTTTTTTTTTGTCACTGGTGCGGATATTGAGCAACAATTTAGGCGCTTGTTTTGGAGTTTATATAGTTAGAGACAATATTGACGCACGATTAGAGGAAATTAACTCGGTGAAACATTTAATTTTTCTAACAACCAACTCGCACTTTTAAATGCCAAATAGTTAATACTAGTTTCAATGTGCAATTACTTTATACCGTCGATGATAAGGGCAGAAAATTACATATCGGAAAAATAAATAAACAAATAGATATGTGTATCGCTGACCAAATTTAAGACAGAAGAAAAATTATCAAAATTAATTTTAAATTATAGTGATGAACGATAATGAAAGATTACAATTTCTGTTTTACGCAGAAGATTTACTACATATTTCCCAACGAAATGTACTGCATCGCTCTGTTTGTAAACGAGTTTACTTCAGTTTATAGAGATATTTTAAGACATTTATTGCATTGCTTTTATCCAACAAAAAACGAAAATATATATACTTTACTTTAATACTGTTGCTGTTGCTGTTGCTGCTGCCTTCCATTTACTAGTACCAAAAAGTGTTATTATTTTCTTCAATGCTTAGTTTTTCGTAATTTTTCCTCTAAAGTGTAGTTAAATTTTTATATATTTTATTTCATTTTTCTTTTATATAATTTAGTTTCAGTACGATATTTTGCGGTTCAAGCTACTAAAGGCTGGATAATCTCTTTGTGTTTTAAAGCTGCCCTCCTTTTTTTTAGCTGCACACTTTTCAAGTTAAAACTATTTAAACTTTGTGTGGTGTGTGTGTATTTGTTTGAGGCTGAACTGGGATGCTATGGAAGAAAACATTTTATTTTATTTTTACATAGGCCATTTCACTTCAACTAGAAATGCGCTTAATAGTAGGCATATTTTGCTATAAAAACCTACTTTGCCAAATACTTAATTGACTTTATGACGCAGTGATGCGACCACATAACCCAAATGGTAAATGAGTTATGCTCTTGTACACACGTGGCGCAACGTCTTGCTATTGCTAATATGCAACTTAGCTCTTTTCGGCCTTTTGCAAGTTAATACACCCGTAAAATACACATCTCTAGTGCCCGCTAGAGCTATTCACAAACCAATATTGTCCACCATAGCCTCACAACCCGGCCTGTTTTCTATGTATAAAGTCTATTTGTTAGCTGCTCCGTAAACAATAATTTCATATACTAATATTAAACAGTCAATTATATATTTACGTGTATGTACGTACGTAAATGTGTATGTTTAGCGTTACAATATATATTTTATATATGTATGTAGGTATATATATTATTTCAATTACATACTTGCTATATTTTATTAACATTTAAATATCAAATTTGCATTACTATAGCTATTTATTCATATATATATTTAATTTTTTCTTTGTATTTAAACTAGCAACGGCTGAGATGCGGCGCTAACTGCTACGTATGTATGTATATTTATTAACCAAATATTTTAGACTCATTCACATTTGCTTTTGTTCACTTCTCGACAACGTTTACTCGTTTAGGCAATAATTTAAATTACAATAAAGCATTATGTTTTCATTTAAATTAATTACAAAACTAAATTAAGTGTGCAAAATATACTATAATATAAATTAATAATCAAACTTTATACACAACAGCGACAATAGATCTTTTCTTTCTTATATTTTTCAACCTGTTTTCAATCATTGATGCTGGTTTTTTGCATTTGCATTCTTTGTTGCTATATTTTTTTCACTTATAAACTAAATATTAAAAATTAATAGTAATCGCGATCGAAGACGACCTCAACAGAAAATTCGGTTAATTTTAATGTTTTTTTTTTGTCCCACCCCCCACAACAATGATAATAATGAATACACGATAGCGGAGCACACAATGAAAAATGCAGGCAAAAACGTGCGTTGAAAAATAAATTTGAAAAATTCGTTGTCGATTGCGCGGACGCACGCTTCAAGTATTTTAGATATTTTTGTATTTTATTTTTTTTTAGTTACGACGTCTAAGGAAATTCTTTGCACCTCTCGCTTCGTGTAAAGTGCGCCTGCGTCGTACACGAGTAATGCTAATTATCCGTTTAATTAGTTTTAATGTTTATGTCTAAGATTAACGCCATTTCGCTGCGTAAATTCCCCCCTAACGCCCTCCGTTCTCTAATTTATGCGCTTTGCAAATTTTGTGTTTTTGTTTTTATTTTCGCGTTACATAATACTAGCATATTTCAACACGTTCTAATCGTTTCGTTACTTCTAGGTACGCGCGTGCGTGCACCGGGCTTTTGTGTAATGTACTTATTATTTCGTTGTTTGGTTTCCCCAAAATTCTCGAGTTTTGTTTTTTTTTTTACCGTGTCACAAGTATGCAGCAATTTCAGAAATTTTCTCCAATAAAAAATTTTCACTCTTATTAGAATTAAACGAATGGCTTTGATTTCACATTAGCAGCGACGGCTACAGCATTCTTGACGACATTCCCCCATTTTCCTGGTCCTCGCTTTGCGGCAGCACCTTCAATTCGAACAACCACAGCTGCTGCAACTGCTGCTAATTAAGGCGTTTTCAATAGCAGTATGTCTTTTTTTCGTGTTCGACTCGTCGTTTTGTTTCGTTGAAAGAAAAAGTTGCGACCGAAGGTCTTTTGCAATTTGTATGACTTCCCCGCTAGGAACTCCGTTAGTGCATCTACGTAGCCTCGTGCGATGTCCTCTGACAGGTGTATGGATATCACTTCGATTTGTACCCGATCGAAGGGTAGCGTTTCTAGGATCTGCGTACAAAAAATAAAAAATAAAAAATCATTTAATTTCTATGTAATTAATTTGTCTACAATTAAACTTGTATTCTCACCTCCAACTCGTGTCCATGCACACCCAAACTGAGCAGATCATAATCCACACGATTGTACGCCAACATCAGCGAATACAATGGAAAGCATTTGACGCGCGAATTAAACCACGAAGTTTCCTCGTCCAGCAGACTATTGATGCGCACATCAGACTCTTCATTGTGTATGGTAACCTAGTGGCACACAGGCGGGCGAGAGAAAAAGTAAATAAAATAAATACATAAAAAAATTTATTTTCTCATAGCTAAAACCATTCATACACTCACAGCACTCACCTCTTTCGGATACGGATTGGGCGAGATGCATGCGTGCACCACCTCCAGACCCGGCCGTTGCGCATTCTGTTTGCGCAACGTGAAGAAACGACGTGGCTCCGGCTCTACCACCAAGCCTGCCCAATTCAGCGTCGCCGCCAGCCATGGTGCGGTTATTAAATAGCCCATCGCACCCGGCAGCGATTGTATGAAGGCGCCATTCTCTTTCCCACCCACCAGATCGGCTACGTAATGCGCCATTTCGGGCGCAAGACCTTCAGAGTAATGTGCGCTGAAATTAAAATGCGTCGCTGCTGAGGAGTAGGAAGCGGCCACCGCCGCTGTTGTTGCTGATGATGACGCAGTTGATGTTGCATCGTCTAAAGGCGCATTCTTGAGAAAGTGCATAGGGTATTTGCGCATCTGGATTTCGCGCAGGAATGCTATGAGTGTGGGATTATCTTGGGCCACGCCGAAGAATTCACAGTCGCGCGACATATTCAGCTTAAATTGTTTATGACGAATCTCTGTAAATGGAAGAATAGGAAGAGAGGTGACGGATTAGTGAAATGTGTAAACAGGAAAATTCGTGAATAATAATGAGAATGCCATGAATGTAGTCATATATCAACTTTATTATTATTTATTGAGCAAAAAATGGAAAAATATGAGACCTGTACGGACCAGCTTTATTTCTGGTCAAGGAGTGTTCATCGAAATTCCATAGAACCCTGGGGAATTGAACACAATAAACAACATCTGAGGGAGTTCCAGATCCAGTTTTTAGCAACTGGGGTACGACTCTTTCTTGCAGATATTTATAGAAGGCAAGTGGTTCTCAAAAAATGGCAAACACTGTTGAGCATGCTTGGTTAGCTAAAGGCGTTAAGTTGATTCTGGGATCTGTGAAACATCATGCTCCGGATTATGCTTGCGCTGCTTCACATTACAAGGATTTGACAAGCTCATAATGCTCACAAATTATTTGAACACAAAATTCAAGCTCACATTAGGTCTTCAAGAGCACATAATAAAGAGGAAACTAGCGCGAACTCATTGGTTTGATTGTTGTTGTAGCGGCTACAGCAACCCCGCCCAGATCGGTTGGTGTAGAATCGTTAGCGTCTGTCCATAAGAACAGAGGCGTTAGTAAAGTGGGGTTCAGTGGGCATGCGAAGAGATGTCTAGAGTCCTTGGATGTCACTCTGCAACGCGGGTACTCGTTTGGCAAATCTGTTTTTACTCTGCTCACGTACGAGTTTAACGTGCTGCAGTAGCCAGAGCGAAGTTGGGCTGTTGTGGTACGAGTCTCTCGAGGCAGACGAATCTCCCACCTCGGTGACACCCTACTAAGAATTGCTTGCAGAGCATTGCGTTATGCTCCTTCATAGGGAGTATATGGGCCTCGTCGTGCAGGTGATGTTATGGCGCTATCAGAAGGCATCCTGTCGCTGTCCGGAATGCCATCTGCAGGTCTGTAGCTTCATCCACTGCGTACTACCAGTCCCCGGCTACAACACAGGCGCTGCATAGTTCAGAACCGGCCGGCCAAAACATTTCTTTGTATTTGCCCCTGGTGCTGGCGGCTAGCGACTTGCGGGTTATTCACCGTCGGGGTGGTCCGTCATCAACGTGAATACCCAGTTGCAGTTTTACCTCCTTCGTCCAGGTCCAAGAGAATTTGTGCTGAGAAAATGAGAGAAAATGTGCTGAGAATTTTGTAGGGGAGGGGGTTAGACTCCGTGCAGTGAAGAAGCGAGAAAGCTCGGCGCGATAACCGTTTACTTTCGAGCACAAGTCATCAATTCCATTCTCAGACGCCATTAGCGAGCACTCGAGACTCCTTTTGGAAGAGGCTTAGAAATGTAAAAGTCAAACAGTAGTTTTATTTTCCTGGGTTTGATCTATTTATCTCTAAAAATTGCTGACGAGTGTCGAATACTGAGATAATTCGCCGACTACCGTTTAAGTCCCTGTGGGAGAAACGAGGCCTCCTCTATGTCATCCAGTAGCGTGGAGTGGCTGACGGTGTTGAACGCCTTGAACAGTTCCAACGCTACTAGAATTGTTCTCTCCCAGGTTATCTGGTTGTTTATGGCGTTAAGTGCTGTGCACTTTACGGAATCCATGTTGATGCCTCGCTTTGGTCAGGTAGTTTGTATAGTGCGGGAGTAGAAGGGCCTCACTGATTTGATCTTCACAGTCGCCAGACGGAAATCCGACTGAAAATGTATGGAAATCAATAAAACTAGCGGGGGAGTACAGCAAATCTGAGTTTGAAATAAAAGTTACATACAAAAAAGGTCTTGGAAACGGCTAAAACGTCATTAAAAATTTTGTAGGAATATGAGTTGAGGTTGAACTTGGGCCCATGAAGGTTTAATAATTTCAAGATAACGAATTGGTTAACGAATTTGCGAGCTATGACTCTACGGAGAAAATTTTAGAGCCAAACTTGTATAACAGACACCAGCAGGTATGTATATCAAGAAACTTGCGAATAGGGGTCCATAAGATGTGGTAAAACCATATACAAACCAGCCAAGGGTTTGGGATTTATTATTTTAAATAACTTGTATTAAATTTTTAAAAGGACGCAACTCTTCGAGAAAGTAAACGTTATTGCATGTCTACAGCTCGAGCCCTTTAGTTTGACTGCTCGAACGAAAGCAGCGGATCTGATGACCTGAACAAAAAATCCCTTCGAATACTATGTATATAGATGGCAACATTGCTTACAACTAAATCGCCAATAGATCGTAATTCAGATATCTCGCCTCATTTAAGCAGGAACAATGTTAGGTCTTGAGAAAGCCATAAATTTTATGAGTATTATTTTCTGCATTGTTTTCGGTTTAGTTTTTAAAAGCTCAAATTTCCAATATTCAAAAGGCTATTGCAGTAACTCTCTGTTCATTTTAAATTCATTAAGCCTTCATTAAGCAATAATAACGTTACATGGAGTCGCGTGTCCTTGCTAAAATTACCTAATCAGCATAAAGATATGGAATCATTAAATTATATAATGCTAATAAAGCGGCTAACACCCACGCGCCGTTATTAAAATAGGAAAAGCAGTAACACCAACAACAAAGAACGGAGTTAGTAATTGCGAAATGCTTAGTGCAAATTTACATACATTTGCGACTACTATTTAGATTATTATTTCTTTTTTTTTGTTTTGTTTCTGTTTGCCCAGATACGCCACACGCCAGTAGTTTATTTGACTTTTACATGCTATGCCCGAATGGCACAAAATGTCGACACTAAAACCATTGCAGCCGGCAAAAATAAATGCGAAAAATATGTTAAAAATTGTATGTATAAGTATGTAAGAAGGCAGGTAGATACATTAGTTTAACCAAATGAACTAGCGCATTTTAATAAATTACAAGCTGTCAAAGTTGAAGGTGAAAGCGGCACGCCCCCGCGCGGCGACTCACTGCGCTGTGTGTGTGGCAACCTCTTTATGCCACCTATAAGCGCGCCGAATTCGAAACAACGCTCGAAAGGGTGGCTTGCTTTCGCAGACTATGCTCATCAGGCCAAACGAAAGGATAGTAAATGCGAAAGTATGGAAAAAAGCGCGAAAGGAAGTGTGTTTCGGAAATGGTGGTAAAGGTGTTAGTGAGTGACCAGCGAGCGTCGCGTTGTTCGGCTGGCAATTTAAAAATGCTCGCGGCAGATTTCACACACCCATTTAGGTTGAAGGATAGGTAAGGATAACAGCATATGTAGTGACCGTTAGACACTCTAGTTAGTTTGGTCATAAAAGCGAGTGTGCGAATGTTGCTTGGAAAGGCAAGGGGCATCGGACAACGACGAACTACGGACAACACAGTGTGTGGCACGAACTCTTTGGCCCTACATTGTTTGCTTTTCATTGTTCATGTGTCATTCGTTGGAAGCTTAATACATAGTTTATATGTACCTATATTATTTGCACTTGGAGTTTACTCATTCGCCACACCGCCCACTGCTTGCCAACAATCTATTTATGGCTACACTCTATAGAATAGCATTTTTAAAGTTTGGTCACAATTTTTCAGTGTTTACTTTTAACGCCTGCAACAAAGTTTATTTTATAGAACTTTTGTAGAATAAGAAAGTTTTATATTGAGGCCGCTTATAGCAGAAGGCGGCAACAGTAAAAAATGATCGTAAATAACAAACTGTGTAGTAAAAATAACCAAGTTAAACTAAGGTGGGCCATAGATTGAAAAAAATACAAGAAAAAAAAATTATAATAAAGTTAAACTAAAATACAAATAAAAAAATGTAACAAATTAAGAAACCCATAATAATCATGATGAAAAATAAACATTAAAAAAAAATTAAGCAAATAGGAAAAAAAACGAAAAAGCCGTCTTTTCTTTTCCGTTAGTAAATTTGTAGATCATCAAGCATTTAAATTTTTGCTTTGAAAGTTACAAAGCAAATTAAATTTTAATTGCGTCTAATATTTAAGGTGGAATTTGTAATGGCTGGGAGTAATTAATTTTACTTGTTTTATTGCGTAAGAAATACAAAATTTTAAAAATTCGTTGTCTGATGATTTACCTCAGATGGTTAATGTACTGTAGAGACATACAGTGACTCTAACAAGTGCTAACGTGTTGATCTTTTTTTTTTTTAATATGCACAATCGTTTTTCAAATTTAAATTTTTGTGTTACTTTTCTATAAAAACTTTGTCCAAGCTTTGACCATATGAATCAAAGTTTCAAACTTTAAACAAAATTTCGGAAAATTCAGCAAATCTCATCAAAATTTGAATAAAATTCTGAAGGCCTGAAAACCGCAAATGACTGGTGCTGAGCTTTACTCTTATATTAAAACGATACCATCGATAGTTTCGAGCAATATTATCGGATACTATCGATGGTTCGGACTATCGTTAGTTTACCAGCCCTACGAAGGAGCTTTTTTGTTTTTGAAAAACTTTCGTGTCAGAATAAACCAAATTTTTCGAACTACTATCTTCCCAACCGTCGTTCTATTATCTTACAAAAGACTTGCAACTATCTTAGCCAGAATCACCCTGTAAGACTATGTTGTCTCTTTCCACAACTTTATTTCCTTCGAGTTTAAGGCTTTTATTTTTTTTCCTCCATTTCCTTCTGAGTTTGGTGTTACCATAACTAACAGTCATCGTGTGCTTCAAATACGCAAACTTTTTCTCGTTTTAGAAAAATAATAAAATCACTTTAACTTTTCTGATGGCCGCGGAGATCTGACAACGATTAAATGAACACCGACACTTTATCTACATACATATCTGTCAAAACAGAGAACATAAATTGCTAAGAAAAGTTCGAAGCCTTGCTGTGGGAAAATACAACAACCGTTACAAATGTACGCAATAAAAGACATCCAAGTGACCTGAGAGTGTCATAAAAATATCAATTTCCACGATTAAGTTTTCAAATGAAATTGCTAAGATTAATATCATTTAAATATGGAAACTAAAAAAAAAAAAAAATGAAGGCACAAACGTACTTTTGTAACTAATACACGCAAATCAGCTC